GGAATGCAGCTGTGCTCAAATGCCATGCCACGTGCCACTGAGGCCTCAGCCGTGGGGGCAAGGGTGCTACTAACTGAGGGCTGAAGGTGAAGGGGCACAGGGCAAGGGCAGGACTTTGTGAAGTTTCCACAGGTCCATCGTGTCCAGTCCCTTCCTCCTCTCCCCTCCTCCTGCCAGGCCTTGGGAAGGCTGCAAACCCCCAGAAGCACTGACGCTAGTGAGCCACACCTCTTCCTGCTCTACCATCTAGTTCTGCCGCTGCTGCTTCAGGAGAAACTCCAGGTCTTTCATATCCTCTCAGCCTGCTCAGGAAATTACCCTCTCGCCCATTTTCCCACCTGGCCTGTGAGGAGGGACAAACACAGATGTAGGCAGCAGCTAGGTAGGAGGAAAAAAGGAAACGGGGAAAAGACCGGAGGGAGAAGGGGAGAGGGAGTAAATCAAGGACGCCACGAGAGGAGACTGGGATGAAGAAAGAGGGCAGCACACCGGCCCCCTGGCAGATCTGTCACAGCTTGGCCTGCAAAGTTCGAGATTTGAAGTCCCCTAACTGTGAATGTGTACTGGCCATCATCAGGTGTGAAACAGGAGTTAAAGCCCTTGAGTTGGCGAGTCCACTTTCTGCTGCAGGGCTTACTGCCCAGGGGCTGCCTCCATTCCTAACTGCTGCCCACCCTTCCAGGGTCCACTGCGCTCGACACGGTAATAAAGCGCTGGCCATGCTTGTACCACCCTCAATGTTTGCTTGATTGCTTGTTTTTTTTTTAAAGCTTTATTTCCAGAATATTTATTAATCACCTTGGCTTTTGTATCACTGAATTTAGACTTTTTAAAATTTATAAATGGGGGCACCTGGGTGGCTCAGTCGGTTAAGCGGCTGCCTTCGGCTCGGGTCATGATCCCAGGGTCCTGGGATCGAGCCCCGTGTCGGGCTCCCTGCTCAGCGGGGAGTCTGCTTCTCCCTCTGCCTCTGCTCCTCCCCCCTAGCCACATCTGTTGCATGCCTAAGAGCAGTCTTCCAAACCATCCCCTGTTCCATATCCCCACTGTTGCTGTTGCCCGTACTGCCAAGGGGTCCTTGTCCTGGACTCAGTGCTGAGGGTATCCCACTCTTGTCTTTCCTTCAGCTTTACTGTTCCGTATGTGCTGAGGAGTCTCTAGGGCCAAGGAGATGTGCCCACCCTGCTCATCATGTTCTAGCTACACAGGACCCCAGATATCCCTGCAACAGGCCTTTTTCTCAGGTTTGTTCTTGTAAGAGTGGACCGCATCCCTGGTGTGTACTCCCCAGGCTCAAGGGGTTGCCAAGGGGCAGATGTTTGGAAGGCAGGAAAGCTTGGAGTCAGACCTTCAGGTCCCCGTGCATACATGTGATGATTTTGTAGACCAGAGCCAGAGGTCAGAAGAGAAGGAGGATATGCAAGGTCTTCCATTAGTACTCTTATCACCAGCCCCACAGGCATTAGGGTGGGACTAATTATTGCCTTATTTTTCTTTATATTCCTGGTACATGCTGATAGGTGATGCTTCAACTACCCCTAAGGACTCTAAGGGCAAGGACTTTAGCTTTTTAATTTTATATTCCCATATACTTATGCCTATCACAATGCCTACCCAATACATGTACTTAGTACATGTTTGTTGAATAAGTTAAACAACACAGCTTGTATTGAACAATTTATAATTATTTCCTCTCCTTTACTGTCATTGTAAAGAGTTTATTGTAATATTTGTATGATTTTAGTCTTATGACTGCCCTTTTTTTCCCCAGAAAAAAACATATCTCTAATTTTGTATTATCATTAAATGGGAAAACTAGATTTTAGATATAAAACAATTTTATTTTTAAATATATTTTTACAAATTAATTTCATAAAATAGGATTAGTTAATGGTAGGTAACAGAAAACAGGGTCAGGCAAACATGAAAATCTTGATTTTGCAGGACAGTAGTTCTTATAACAAGTTATATTAGTAACTGCCACACCCTGAGGGATTCTAGAATACAAGTTATGAGAAAGAGTAAGACCATGTTCTGGAAAACGTAAAGATGCTGGTAAGAGCAGGGACTGGGTTTCCCTGCCAGGTTTCCCATGAATTCAGGGGGGAACCCCAAGATCCTGTGGGTCCAGTTCCCCTACTGAGTTCATTTGTGAGGAATGTGTTTGTGCATGATGACTTTTAATGCAAAATGCACATAATCATTAGAATAATTTTAAATACCAAATCAGCATGTTTTATTTTATTTTTTTAAAGATTTTATTTATTTGATAGAGACACAGCGAGAGAGGGAACACAAGCAGGGGGAGTGGGGGAGGGAGAAGCAGGCTTCCCACTGAACAGGGAGCCCAATGTGGGGCTGGATCCCAGGACCCTGGGACCGTGACCTGAGCTGAAGCCAGACACTTAATGACTGAGTCACCCAGGTGCCCCAAATCAGCATGTTTTAATTCACAAACTGATTTTTCACTATGGTAATTCATGTTTTAGGTTGGCCCCCCAAATTCAGTGACCTTGTGGACTTAGAACCTATCTGAAATGTCCTTAGTGCTGATATACCTGCTTTGGATACTATTTTTATCACAAGCTCACACATTCTGTGACTCATGTTTGCTGCTTAAAAAAATAGTCTATTCGGGATGCCTGGGTGGCTCAGTCGGTTGATCATCTGCCTTCAGCTCAGGTCATGATCCCAGGGTGCTGGGATGAGTCCCACATGGGGCTCCTTGCTCAGTGGGGAGCCTGCTTCTCCCTCTGCCTGCCTCTCCCCCTGCTTGTGTGCACTCTCTCTCTCTGACGAATAAATAAATAAAATCTTTTAAAAAAAATCTATTCATGATTCCACTGAGAGGTAACACATAGTTAAGCCATGGCAATGATTTGAGTTTTGTGCCTTAATTCTCTCAGGATTCATAATGTTTTGTTTTGTTGATAGTTTGTTTATTCTGTGTTCGCTTTCTACTCTTAACATTTTTAGGCATAATAAAATTTACTCATTCCAGCCCTTCTCCTCCTAGATGAGATGAGTCTTTCAGGAACACCTCATTAAAGGTATTAAATATCAAAGCAGTTACTCTGTGCGCCATCATGCACTGTCTGTTGTGCCATCATGAATCATGAGTAAAACCACTCAATGATAATTGTTGGAAGAGTATTTCTGTGATGAAATTGCTCTGTTATAGCTTGGGATCCACTGGTGTTTGGAGTAGGAATTTGGTTTCATAAAGAGTTTGAATTGTTTTTGTCATCTAGAAAATAGTTCCCCTTTCACAAGAAGATTTTGAAATGTCTTCAGTCTTAATTTAGTAGTAGTAATGATTCTGGGAGCTCTTTTTGCCTTCACAATAAGTTTTCCAACATTTACAAAGATTTGAGCAGACCTAATTCACATATTTCACTTCCCACACACTTATGCCTCTAAGGTAGGGCCCTACCTCTTTCCCATATGCCTGTTTAAAAAACTTTTTCTAAGTCTCTTAAGTGGCAATTATTTTTAAAAAAGGGGGGGGAGACTTGATATCGTGGTGATTGAATAGCGAAATGGGGGAAAAAGTAGTATCACATATATGTCACACATACTGTTCCTTCCCTTTCCTCTACCTCCAAGGCAGGAGAGGTTGACTTGCCTCCCTTTCTTGGGTATGCTTTTTGGACTTCCGGCTTCTCTTTTCCTTCAAGGCTACTCTTGAATGAGAATATGTATGTTGGGGGTGGAGGGAGCAATGGGAGAAGAGGGTTTGGTTGGCAAGGAACAGGATAGAGCACTAAATAGAATACTGAGAAGAGATGAGCAAGAGAACAAATGGAATAGAAGCAAGAAACTACTCTTTTCTAACCCTTGCAATTAAAGCCCCAGAGTACTGGGACTGGAAGGAACACAGTGCTCCTGTAATTACGGTAGTTTAACCTAACAGATACTCAGTAGATAGATATTGAATTTAGAGGAATCTCATTTTGCAGGAGAAGAAATGGAATCCCACAAAGATACATTGCCCAGAACCATTCAATTAGTTAGTTGCAGAGCTGGACCAGAACCCAAGCCCTCCAATTCCTCAACCACTTCCTTTTCTATTAGAAGATACTATAATGATGGTTTTCGTTTTTTTTATTCTTTTTTTAATTCCTGTCACCTGACACAGAGTAGGCATGAAATGTTTTATATCATTTTATTATTATTTCTTTCATCATGACAAGTGCACTCCTTAATCCCCATCACCTGTTTCATCCATCCCCCCCACCCCACCTCCCTCTGGTAACCATCAGTTTGTTCTCTATAGCTAAGAGTCTGTTTCTTGGTTTGTCTCTCCTTTTTATTTTTGCCCTTTGCTCATTTGTTTCTTAAATTCCACATATGAGTGAAATCATATGGTATTGTCTTTCTCTGACTTACTTCACTTAGCATAATACTCTCTAGCTCCATCCATATCATTGCAAATGGCAAGATTTCATTCTTTTTATGGCTGAATACTATTCCATTGTGCTTTTTAAAATACCACATTATTTTAAGACATGTTGAGCTCAACCATATTATTTGTTTGAATGGCTGGTGGCACTTACTAGGTCTGTTTATGAGTGGCAATCTAGTAGAAAGAATAGGAATTTTGGAGTCAACCTGGGTCCAAATCTCTGTTTTGCCCATTAGCACTTGGGCAAGTACCTTAATCTTTCTAAACAGAGGCTTTAACATCTCAACAAATAAAGATAATAGTAGCTACCACATAGGGTTGTTGTAACGAATGAAACAAGGTTATTTGGAGTATTTAGTGTGGCATGTGGCATAAATCAGAGGCTTCAGTAAATATTTGCGAAATGAATAAGGGTAACTATTACTGTGTTTGGTCTCCCTCATGGGGAGTCGCATGCTTTACCTTGCAGACGTGTCCTGTTTTTTACAGACATGTATCCTTAATGCCAGAGTTAAACTGCAGTTTGGCTAACTTCTTCTTATATAGAAATGTCTGCTTCAGCTGCCTCACAGCCTTCTAATTTTTTTAATTCCAGACTAATCCATGGAGGACAGTTGTTAAATGGATTGGCAGGTCCAACAGTAATGAACGCAGCCCCGTTCCTCTCTACGACGTGGTTTTCTGCAGATGAACGGGCCACCGCCACAGCCATTGCGTCAATGCTCAGTTACCTTGGTGGAGCATGCGCATTTTTAGTTGGGCCACTGGTCGTTCCAGCCCCCAATGGGACATCGCCTCTTCTTGCTTCAGAGACGAGCAGGACCCACATTAAAGATCTCATAGAGGCTGTATTGTATGCAGGTATTTTGCAGTTTATTTTCTTCCTGCTCTACTTCGTCTTTATCCCAGTCCTCTTTACTCCACCCTGTATACCAGATCACTTCTTATGAAACACTAAAGAGGACCAAAATATACATATGCACATGTGTGCTTTTCTTGTCATGGAATATGGAGATGCCTATGTAAAACTTATCCTTTCTAGGAAGTTATTAAGTTTAAAATGTATTATTGCTGCATAGAAGTTTATTTCTTAATTTTATTCTTCCCATACGTTTACAACTAGGCACTGTAGAACACATTGTCTAGTGTCTTTTCTAGATACCTTATCAGAATAGAAAACTAAACATCGTGATCCACAATAAATATTTGTTAACCATCTATTGGTAGCTGTTAAGCCCATTTTCTCCCTTGCAGTTTCCCCACTCCTCTCTGACCTGGTAAACCCAGGTCACCCACAGTTTATTCTTCTCTTCATATCGTATCCTCTCTATGTTTAGTCTATTAATAAGGGATATTGACCTTTCCAAAACATTTTCTTGGTCCTTTCTCTTTATTTCTAGGGTTAAGCCCTACTCCACACTTACATTACAGTCTCCTACAGACTCCTCCACCCTGTATGCCTGTTTGTTATTTCCTTCTGCGTTCAGAAAACTCTTTGTAAGTTTTTATATGTACTAAGCACTGTGCTAAGTACTGGGAGTTGGTAAGATCACTGAGAAGACCGTTGCTATACAAATAGATATACAGAGCTTGAGAGACCTAACTTGCCTGAGTTTGGAGAGACGTTGAGGAGTTGGGGAAGACTTCACCAAGAATATGATAATTGAAGTTAAGAATTTCATAGGAGTTCTCCAAGTGTTCAAGTGAGGTAGGGCATTCTGTATAGAAGGAATAGCCACTGCAAGGGCAGATATGGTATGAGAGAGCTCCGTATGTCCAAAGAACTGCACATAATTTCATCTGGCTGAAGTAGTGTAAGTATGTGTGTTTGGGTGTCGGTAGCAAGTGGCAGAAGATGAGGCTGGAGAGATACGGGACCATATTATGATGAACTTTGTATTCACTTATTAATTGAACACATCTATTTGGACCTCCTCTGTATCTGTCCTTGTGCTAGACACTGAGGTAGACATGGTTCCTGCTTTCATAGAACTTACAGTGTCCCAAAGGAACAGACAGGTAAACGGTTGTAAAACAGGGTGGTAAGTGCTATAACCAAAGGCTGACAGTTGCTCTGAGACCTCAGGAGGAGCACCTAACCTAGATTTTGGAGGTCAAGTAAAGCTTCCTGGAGATGCAGCATCTAAGGTGGAGCCTGAGGGATGAGAGGAAGTTAGCCAAATACAGTGGGCAGGAGGAAGAACGTACTAGAAAGAGAGGGAGCCATGGAGGAGAAGGTTTGTTAAGGGATGAGAGCTTGGTATACTCAAGCAACGCAGAGCCCAGAGTGGCTTAAACTTGGTGAGAGTAGTGAAAGATAAATTTAGAGAGCTAAGCCAGGCCATACAAGCCTTCTAAGCAGGGCTAATGGGCTTGAAATTCACTACCTTGTAGGCAAAGGCCACACTCTGAAGCATTTTACATGAGAGAATTATGCAATGAGATTTACATTTCAAAATGTGTTTTAGAGGGAATAAAGCAAAAGCAGAGGCTGTGGCATAAATAAAGCATTTAAACCCCCCCTCCCTTATACAACTCCTTTTAAAGGAAAAAAATTGAGGGGCATCTGGTTGACTCAGTTGGTGGAGCATGTGACTCTTGATCTCGGTGTTGTGAGTTCAAGCCCCATGTTGGATGTAGAGATTACTTAAAAATAAAATCTTGAAAAAATAAAATAAGTTTTTCTTTGTTTAAAAAAAAAATGAAGTTTAAAAGTAAATAAATAAAACTGAAAGCAGTGTCACATAAATTTTAAACTTTATTTTGGTCATATCATTCTTCTTGCTGAAAACTTACACGATAATTGTGTCTTTTAAATGACTGGATTTTAAGCACTTTTGGGCACGTATTAATGCTCTACATCCTTCTGGTTCATGGTTCCAGTGAAGCCGAAGCCTCCCAGTTATTGCTTCAGTGCTTTCATATTTGTCAGTCTGCTTTCCTGAAATATTGTCCCATGACCCTTCATTCCTTTAAAAATATTTTGCTAGAATTGCCACATTAAAAGATTAATGACTCTTAAATTATTTAAAAGGCATCAGAAGAAAAGTAAACTACAGACCCAAAAATCCTGAGCAAAATGCTGGCAAACCAATTCTAACAACATATAAAAAAGGATTATATACTATGGCCAAATGAGATTTATTCCTAGGATGCAAGGTTGGTTTAACATCTAAGACTCAGCTAACGTATATATCAGTAGAATAAAGGAGAAAAAACATGTGATCATCTTAATAGGGGGAGGGGCATTTGACAAATCCAACACCCTATCAAGATAAAAACACTCAACATATTAGTTCGTAGGAGCTCCCTCGGCCTAACAAAAGGCATCTATGAAAAACCCACAGAAAAGATCATATTTAATGGTCAAAGACTAAAGGCATTCCCGCTGAGATCAGGCATAAGACGAGGATGTCTACTCCTGCCCTGTCTAGTTAATATTGTGCCAGAGGTTCTAATCAGGATCACTAAATAAGAAAAAGAAAGAAAAGGCCTGTAGACTGCAAAAGAAAAAATAGAACTATTTCTATTGAAAACAGCTTGATCCTGATAGAAAATCCTCTGAAATCCACTACAGAACTACCAGACCTAACAAGTTCATCCTAAAAACACAGATTTCAGGTGCAAGAAAATGTGTTGTATTTCTATACATTAACAATGAACAATCCAAACATGAAATTAGGAAGATAATTCAATTTACAATAGCCTCAAAAAGAATAAAATATTTAGGAATAAATTTAACAAAATAAATATAAAACTTGCATTCTGAAAATTATAAAACACTGTTGAAAGAAATTAAAGAAGACCTAAAGAAATGGAGACATCCCATATTTGTGAGTTGGAAAGTTTAATATTGTGAATATGGTAATATTCCCCAAATTGATTGACATATTCAGTACAATCCGTCTACCTTTGTTGCAGAAATTGAAAAGCTGATCCCCCCCAAATAAAATTAAATAAATAAAAAAGATATTGACAAGCTGATCCCAAAATTTATGTGGAAATGCAAGGGACTCAGAATAGCCAAAACAGTCTTGAAAAAGAACAAAGCTGGAGAACTCACACTTCCCAATTTTAAAACTTACTACAAACTCAGCATCACTAATTAAGACAGCAGGGTATTGGCATAAGGATTGACATAAATCAATGAAACAGAAGTGAGATTCCAAAAAATGAACCATTACATTTACAGTCAATTGACTCTTCATGAGAGTACCAAGACAGTTTGGGGCACCTGGCTGGCTCAGAAGAGCATGCAACTCTTGATCTTGGGGTCATGAGTTCGAGCCCCATGTGGGGTGTAGAGATTACTTAAATAAAACTTTAAAAAAAAGGTACCAAGACAATTCAATAGGGAAAGAATAGTATTTTCAACAAATGTTGCTGGAATAACTAGATGTCCATATGCAAAAGAATACATTTGAACCCCTTCCTTACATCATACATAAAAATTAACTCAAAATGGATTATAAACCTAACATAATAGCTAAAAACTCATAGAAGAAAACATAGGAGTAAATCTTTGTGACCTTGGATTAGGTGTGAAATCGTAAAAGCACAAGTGACAAAAGAAAAAATAGATAAATTGGATTTCATCAAAATTAAAAACTTGTGTTTCACAGGACACCCATCAACAAAGTAAAAAGACAACCACTTTGAGGATGGGAGAAAATAGTTGTAAATCATATATCTGATAAAGGACTTATATCCAGAATATATAAAGAACTCTTACAACTCAGCAACAAAAAGACAACCAAATTAGAAAATGGGCAAAGGACTCGAATTTCTCCATAGAAGATATACATATGGCCAACAAGCCCGTGAAAGATGCTTGTCATCATTAGTCATTAGGGAAATACAAATTAAAACCATAAGGAGATATACTTCACATCCAGTAGGGGCTATGATCAATAAAATGGGATGAGGTGCTGGGCTGGCTCAGTTGGTAGAGCATGTGACTCTTGGACTCAGGGTCGTGAGTTCAAGTCCCACATTGGGTGTAGAGATTCCTTAAGAAAATAAAATCTTTCAGGGGGCACCTGGGTGGTTCAGTCAGTTAAGCATCTAACTCTTGGTTTCAGCTCAGGTCACGATCCCAGGGTTGTAAGGTTGAGCCCCACATTGGGTTCCGCACAGGAGCAGAGTCTGCTGGAGATTCTCTCTCCCTTTCCATCTCCCTCTTCCCCTACCCCTAATTGTGCTCTCACACACACTGTCTCTCTCAAATAAATAAATCTTTAAAAAATAAAAATCTTTTTTTAAAAATGGGAGATGTTGGTGAACAAGTGGAGAACTTGGAATCATCATATATTGCTAGTAGGAAAATGGCACAACCACTTTGGTCCTTCATAGTGTTAAACATATATTATCATATGACCCAGCAATTGCATCTCTAGGTATATACCCAAGTGAAGTAAAAACACATCCATGCAAAAATTTATACACAAATGTCCATAGTAGCATCATTCATAATGGCCAAAAAATGGAAAGACTCCAAATATTTATCAACTTAAGTGGATAAAAAATGTGCTTTATCCATTTAATGGAATATTATTTGGCAATAGAAAAGAATGAAAGTACTGATACATGATCCAACATAGTTGAACCTTGAAAACATTATGCTAAATGAAAGCTGCAGGTCACAAAGACCAGATAGGATTCCATTTATATGAGATGTCCATTATACTCAAATCCAGGGAGACTGAAAGATTAGGGAGTGGTTGCCTGGGGCTGGGAGATTTGGGGGTGGGGGGCTGGGTAATGGGTACAGAGTTTCTTTGAGGGATGCTGAAAAAGTCCTAAAATTGATTGTGGTGATGGTTGCACAATTCTGTGAATATACTAAAATCATTGACTTGTGCACTTTAAATGTGTGAATTGTGTATTGTGCAAATTATCTCTCTGAAGCTGTTTACAAAAATGCCCATAGAGAGAATATGAACAAGGCAATCCCAGAAGAAGAAATACAAATGGCCAATAAGTATATGGAAGATGCTCATTCACTGTTGTTAATTAGAAGATCTGTAAATTAAAACAGTTCGTTAACTTCTTATTGCTCCTCAAACTGACAAAGAACAATGACATTATCTATGGTTAAATGTCTTATAGGAATATTGTACCTTTTGCTAAGAATATAGCCCTAGAATTGTAATTAAAATTATCCAACTGAGTGGACTCTAGAAATCACTTAGTCCAGTCCCTTTATTGACAACAAAGAATAAAGGATTCATTCAAATTAAAAGTTAATTAATGGCACAGGCAGGTCTCTACTCCAAGTTTCCTAACTTTTCTTTTGGGAGTCATGCTTTTCTACTAAATTGGACACAACAAAAGTTGGGACTTACAAGTGCCAGAACTCTGGAGGGAATGATCAGGACTCCTAGGATCTTTTTCTTATTAATGGTACCAAATTAAAATTGTTTGGATGTTCATTTTACTTCTAATTGTTTAGTATTTTACAGTAGCTAATCTTTTTATTCATTAAATTTTGCTTTCTGTTTCTTGGTTTCTTATTTTTGGATGGTTTCCTGTTTTGTTCAAATTCCCCATACAGCCTATAAATTGAGTCTGTCCTACACTGTGCTTTGGAATATCCAATCTTTGATCAAATAAACCTTCTCCTATCCTGTTAGTATCATATACTTTCTTTCTGAGTACCATACTTATTATACAGTCAGATCTATTTCAAAATCTTACACTATAATACTGTTGGTTTTTAATGTTCTCCATCCAGTAAATTTGTTTCTGCCTCAGTCTTTTCATCTATGTAGTGTACCATAGTATGACCTCTTACCTATGACCTGCTGAAATTTATATCTTTATATACCTATTTTTTTTTCACAAGACTGAACTAATTTTGCTAGGTATTATATTTTGCTTATCTTTTTATGCCTAGAGCTTAGTTAATGATTTGTTAGATAAATAAATACTTGAAACGTTGAACTTTTTATGTTGTCTGATTAACATTTTATTCTTTTTTTTTTCTCCCCTGCCCTCAGAATTTGGAGTTGTCTGCTTACTATTTTCTGCAACATTAGTTTATTTCCCACCCCGGCCTCCACTTCCTCCCAGTGTTGCTGCAGCTAGCCAGCGGCTGAGTTATCGGCGGAGCTTTTGTAGATTATTAAGGTAAATACACTTTGAATCACTGAGTGGTTTTGACTAGCACCTTCAAGATAATTTCGCATTTATTTAAGGTAATTTAGGATGGTAATTTTTCAGCAACCCATTAATCAGGTTGCAAATAATTGATAAAGTAATTAAATATTGTAGAGCAGTTTCCTATCAGAAATCTGTTTTTAAGATTTACTTGTTAGAGAGAGAACACATGCACACGTGCGCAGTGCAGAAGGGTGGAGGGAGAGGGAGAGGGAGAGGGAGAGAGAGAATCCCAAGCAGACTCCGCCCAGAGTGTGGAGCCCACTGTGGGGCTAGATCTCCAGACCCATGAGATGATGACCTGAGCCGAAACCAAGAGTCAGACGCTTAACTGACGAGCCACTCAGGTGCCCCCATCAGAAATCTATTTTTAAAAATCACCAAAGACAGGGGCATCTGGGTGGCTCAGTCAGTTAAGCATCTGCCTTTGGCTCAGGTTATGATCCCAGAGTCCTAGAATCAAGCCCCACCTTGCTTTGGGCTCCCTGCTCAGTGGGGAATCTGCTTGTCCCTCTCCCTCTGCCCCCAACCCTGCTCATGCTCATGCTCTCTCTCAAATAAATAAATAAAATCTTAAAAAAAATTAAAAAAATAAAAATGGTTTTCTTTTTGCACACAAATCAAAACCATTTTATAGCTGGCCAAAGTGATAACTCAGATCTGTGAAAAAAAAATTTTTAATGTTTATTGGACATTTAATTCTGATTTTAGGTAACGAATTTTTTTTTATTCCTTTTTGACTGATGAGAAGAAACCTCCTATAAAATTTACTGTGTATTTGCTGAACATGTCCCTTAATATTATCCACTTAATTGACTTAAATTTTTTTTTACACAGCATTCGTTTTGCTCTGCTGCAACAAATTGCAGTTGCCATTCATTGTAAAATTTCCAACATATTTTCTTCTACTCTCTTTCTTCATAAAATATTCAGATAAGCAAATTACAAAGTTATATCTGTGTCAAAAAAACAATGAGAACTGAGTCAGTTCACTGACACCAAGATCAGTGACAGAAACAACACATGCTACACCCAGCACATTACAATAATATCTTACCAATACCGCAGTTAAAGGGAAATATAGTCCTACCAAAAAAATAAAGTTGTGGTTAATGGGAAAGTACTTTTCACTGCTTCTGTTTAGAATTTTCTTTAAATTAATTACAATGAAATAAAATGAAAAATTCATTTCCTCAGCTGGACTAGCCACATTTCAAATATTCAAAAGCCGTACCTGGCTGGTGGCTAGCAAGTTAGCATAGCTGTGTAACATTTTTTTTCAAGTTTTGGTTCACAGCCAGCTAATTTAGTAGGTAGACCACCTTTAAGAAAAAAAGTAGAATGAAATAAGCTAGAATGAAAATATTATTTATCGCATGTAGTAAGGGTACGTATTTTTTTGTGAGACTTTTATTTCAGAATATATGTATGGATGTGTGGGGAGATCACAAAGTAAAAATATACTTCTTACTTTGGAGTACAACAAAAAGTTTTTAAAAATCACATCTCTGTAGCACGTAGAATATTGCCTTCTACATAATAGGCAAATAAAAATATTTGTCAAATTGAATGGTGACCAGTGGCGCATATGTGTAAGATGATGGTTTAAAATGATATGTTTTTTTAAATGCTGTTTAAGTTTTTCCCTATGCAGCACCAGAGTTTCAACAGCAATCAGGAGAGGTAGGTTAGGTCATATTATGCCAGACTAATAATTTGGACTAGTCTGTGGAAAATGAGGAGTCCTCCAAAGGATTTTAAGCTAAGGAGCTGTGTAAAAAATTGTTCTGACAAGGAACAGTGCCTAACATTACTTCATTTCTTCCATTATTTGTTAAGTCTGAAGCATTGCCTCTGCGGGGTGCTCTCTAGGGGAGTTCTTTGGACCTGCCATGCCCCATCCCTCTAGCCTATCAATATAATTTTCTCTGGTCCTTCAAAGGATGCCTGAACTCATTACTTTATATTTACTTTATATTTACTTTATATTTATGTTAATCAGACAACATAAAATATTGACTAGGGAAGTGGATTAATCAGAATAACTGCTTCTCTGGATTCTAATTCCATTTTCTGGGGAAACAGAAAAATCACTGGTTATGCTCCAAAGTTTTTACCACCATTATTTATTTATTATCTCTCTAAAATAAATAAATCTTTAGGGGCTCCTGGGTGGGTGGTTCAGTGGGTTAAGCGGCTGCCTTGGCTCCTGGGATTGAGCCCAGCATCGGGCTCCCTGCTCAGTGGAGAGTCTGCTTCTCCCTCTCTCTCTGCCACTGCCCCGCTTGTTCTCTCTCTCTCTCAAATAAATAAAAATCTTAAAAATAAAGTTTTAAAAATAAATCTTTAAAAAAAATAATAATAATAAATAAAAAATTTCAAATATCTATCCCAGTCTGTCATCTGCCTACAAATTTTGTCTGTGGATTCCTTAATTATTAACTTTCTGGTTTTATCTTTTACATTGAGGTATTCAACCCACCTAGAATCTACCTTAGGTATGTGATATTAACTAATGACGCAGGAGTTTTGTGGGATTTTTTCGGTAAAAGAAACTAGCACTATTTACTGAACAGTCGTTAGCAGTTTGTTAGCCCTCTGTTCTCCTCCATTGTGCTTGTTCTTGAGCCATTTGCATACCATTTTTTATTATAGCCATGCAGTTTGTCTTGATATGTGATAGGATAAGGGCCTCCTTTTTCATATTTGTTTAAAGATAAGTTAGCCCTCCAGGGACTTTTATTCTTCCATATAACTTTAGAGCATATTTCTTAAGTTTCTAAAAATTCAACTTGAACTTTAATAGTGATTATATTGAAATTATTGATTAATTTGGAGCGAATTGACTATATAGACTGTCTCTCCATCTATTTAGATCATTTTCTATGCCCTTAATTAGATTAAAGATTGCTTTTTCTTTCCTCCCATAGAGATCTTGGGCTTTCCTAGCTATTGTTAATGGTATGTAATTTTTATTACATTTTTTAAATTAAACTTATTTGTGAAATAATTGTAGATTCACATGCAGTTATAGGAAATAATACAGAAGGATAACATGAGCTCTTTACCCAGTTTCCCCCAGTGATAACATCTTACAAAACTGTTGTACAATATCACAACCAGAAAATTAACATTGATAGTCAAGATACAGAACATTTCCATCATCACCAGGATCACGTTTTTTGTCCTTTTGTAGCCACATCTACTTCCCTCCCACTCTACTGGCAAACACTGATCTGTTCTCCATTATATAGTGTCGCTTCAAGAATGTTATATATATGGAATCATATAGTACATAAATTTTAGGATTGGCTTAAAAAAGAGAGAGAGAGAGAGAAGGAAACCAGAAAACAGACTCTTAACTATAGAGAAGAAACTGAGGGTTGCTAGAGGGGAGGTGGGTAGGGGATGGGTGAAATGGGTGATGGGTTAAGGAGGGCACTTTTAATGATGAGCACTGGGTGTTGTGTATAAGTGATGAATCACTAAATTCTACACCTAAAACTAATAATACACTGTTAACTAACTGGAATTTAAATAAAAACTTGAAAAAAAGCATAATTCTCTGGAGAATCAACCAGGTTGTTTTGTGTTTCAGTAGTTACTCCTTTTTATTGCTGAATAGTATTCCATGGTGTGGATGTACAGTTTGTTTAACTCTTCACCTGTTGAAGGTAGGGTTTTTTTGGCCATTACAAATAAACATTTATATGCAGGTTTTTGTAGGAACATAAGTTTTCATTTCTCTAGGATAAATGCCCATTTATATGGTAGTTGCCATTATATGGTAGATGCATAGTTAAGAAAAAAAAAAAAACCTGCCAGGCTATTTTCCAGAATTGCTGTACCATTTTTCATCACCACAAGCAATATACAAGTCATCTGGTTTCTGGGCATCTTCACCAGACTTTGGTGTTATCACTATGTTTTTGTTTTAGCCGTTTTGATAGGTATGTAGAAAAGTACAATCTCTGTAGAGGGCAATTGGCATTGTCTATTGAAGTTACAAATACACATACTCTTTTGACATAGCAGTTGCACTTCTAGAAGTCAGTTCTCCAAATGTACTAGTGTACATATGAAATGACTGTAAGAGCAAAGGAATAAATTTATATATATATATATATATATAATAATGCCTTTATATATCATATATACAATAAATACAAATCTCTCAGTGAGGGCTGGTTAAATTATGATATAGCAACATAATGGAGTACTACACAGCTCTAAGAAAAAATGAGGAAGCTCTTTATTGACTAGGGAAGAGTTCTAAGACTTAACTGTTAAAAAAAGTAAAATTCAGCAAATGGTTTTAATATACTACCATTTATGTAAAAAAATTGGGGAAAGAATATATATATATACACACACACAGTTGAGAATATATATATTAATATGCACATATCTATAATATATATACAAATACGTAATAAGAATATATATATTCTTATGTGTGTGTGTATATATATATTTACACACACACATTTGTATATATACATAGGCTTGTATATTTTCAACTGTTTCTGGGAAGTGCCCAAGAAAGCGCTAACACTGGTAATTGTGGGAAGAGGGGAATGGGATAGGGACATGTTTTCCCCATATTTTTATATACTTTTTGGTTTTGAGCCATTTGCATTGTATTGCCTATTAAAATCTTTGACTAATACAAACTTTAATAGCAATAAAACAAAAGTTAAAACTGCTCTCTGAAAATAATAAAACTAGCAACATGTATTTCTTTTTAAGCTTTGATTTTTTTTTCCCCTCCACCTCATTCATAAGGAGAAATGGTAATTTATCCTTTCAAATAAGAGCTTTTTTTAACTGAAACTTCCTGTTCATTCTATGAAATAATGTTGGTAATTCATCTATATAGTAAACATTGACAACTTTAACCAATATGAACAAGAAGGGTTTTCATAAAAACAAAAAATTAAAGAACTTTGAATTTATTACAAAACTGACAGTTATTTTCTCTTTCTGATTCTGGTGTTCCAGTTTCCAAAGGACTTACATTTTTCATGAGTAAGAATTTAAAATCAAGATTTTGGAATCTGTAGTAATACTTTCTTTTACTTCTCTTTTACAGCAACATGAGATTTTTGATGATTGCTTTAGCATATGCCATACCACTTGGTGTATTTGCTGGTTGGTCTGGAGTTCTGGACTTAATTTTAACACCAGTGCATGTCAGCCAAGTAAGCATTTTATTTCTTTATAAGTTGTAGGTATTTTTAGTTCATTTAAATTATAAATATTGTCTTCATGTTCTTGGTTTAAACTTCAAGGCCTGGGTAAAACATTATCCAATATCATTGTTGCAAAAGCAAGATCCTTAGGAAATAGTTAAAAATAATATTGATTTTCTTCCTGGATTTTGTTGACAGCCATGAATTTTACATTTATTTGGCTGCTATTAATGATGCTAATAAACAGAAATATAGAGAAGGAAAATCTTCATTTTGTTCACTCCATCCTAGTCTTGCTTTATACTTTATAAAGAAGTTTAAGATCCCATCATCAACTATATGACTACTTTGTCATCTAATTTCTCACTTTCTCTCTGGTCTCAGAATCTCATTTCTTTAAAAATAACCATTTCACCTATATGCTTCAGGCCATGTATTCCTTTTCCGCACTTCCAGGTAGCATGGTAGAAAGGAGTAGAGGGCTTTGAAGGGGCAAATGGAAGAAATCCAGCACACTGGTGTGCCATTCCATTGCATGAGTGAGCAACAATTTGTCCATTCTACTTTTGATGAACATTTGGATTGTTTACAGTTTTTGACTGTCACAAACAATGTGTAGGAATGTTCTCATAAACTCTTGAAGTACCTCTATACACATTTCTGTTTGGATATATGGCTAGGAATAGTATATGCCTGATTTGATAGATGATGCCAAACTCCCCCAAAGCAGTTGTATCACTTTATAGTCCTACCAGCAGGACGTGAAATTTCTCATTGCTCCACATCTTTACCAACACTTGGCAATGTTAGTCTTTTTAAAGTTAGAAATACTAACGGCTGTGCAGTTAAATGCCATTATAGTGATATCTTTTTAAGTGTTTGTTGGATATTTGAATATCCTTTCTTGTGACACACCTTTTCAAGTCTCTTGCCCACTATTGGGCTGCCTTTTTCTTACTGATTGTAAAGAAGAGAGCTGTGCAGAAGGGGGCTCCCCAGAAGACTACGTGGGGTACTCAGCAAGTCTTGACTGAGAGATGGACTGCACATGTAAAGGGCAAAGCTACCAGAGGCTTAACAGAAAGACTGCTAGGAGGTATAAAGCAGAACGAATACAGTAGAGGGCAAGTAGTGCTGGGGTCTTAGAGTTCTGGCTCAGCCAGAATGGTAAGACCTCATTAAAACCTTGTTAATACCTTGGGCTTCTTCTGAGACACAAGAATCTAAGCCAAAATTTAGAATCAAGGACCATGCTCTAGGTAAAATAAGGCCTATTCTACTTAGACCCACAGTACACAAGCCCTGACCAAAATCGGCAGAGGAGACAATTTGGAGATTGAGTCCTACCAAGTGAGGGGGGCTTGGGAAACACTTTGGTTTCTACTTACTACCTTAATAAAACACAAAATTAAGCCTATACAAGTTCAAGGTGATCAGTTATTAACTGAACTGCCTACTACACAAAATGCAAAAATCAGCCATTGTAGAGAAAGATAAAGAGGATCCAGAATCTTTATATTGCGTCATCCACAGCATGTACCATACTGTCAAAAAAAAAATTAGACAAACAGGAAAATGTGACCCGTATTTACAAAGAGGAAGTATTGAATAGAAACCAACTCAGAGATAGTCTGGATGTAGCAGAGACCATAATGCAGAAGAGAGAGAGAGAAATCTTTGCTTGCTTGAAGTTTATTAATATGTATATAACAAATATACCATATATACCATATTGGACAGTGCAGATACAGAACATTTCTGTCATCATAGAAAGCACTGTTGGATAAATGCTATTCTAGAAGCTTTATCATTATTCCTGTCACATTTAAACCTAGAATTGAATTCTGTGCTTTTTATAAGGTAGGAGTTCAGTTTCTTTTTTCCCATGTAGGTATCCATTAACCTGGTATTAATTTTTGAAAAAATCATGCTTTTCTCATTGCGCTCTAGTGTCATCTTCGTCAAAATGAAGTGCCCTTATGTGCACAGATGTGTTTCTAAACTACTTTTTTCCCTCTAGTCTATTTGCCTATCTTTTATCACTTTTATCTACCAGTGTCTCAAGTATTTTAGTGTTATAATAAATTTTGGTATTTTGTAGAATAAATATGCCCCTTTATTGGGATTTTGGCTAGAATTTTTTGAATCTATAAGATCAGTTTAAGAATTAACTTTTATAATTAACTTCCTTGTAAACCATATATTATATTTATTAATATATTCCCTTATGTTATTCTGTAGAACTATATTGTCTGGTACAGTAGCTACTAGCCACTTGTGGCTATTTAATTTGAAATTTAAATTAGTTGACGGGCACCTGGGTGGCTCAGTCCATTAAGCATCTGCCTTCCGCTCAGGTCATGATTGAGTCCCGCATCCAGCTCCTTGCTCAGCGGGGCGTCTGCTTCTCCCTCTGCCCTTCCCCCTGCTCGTGCTCTCTCTCTCAAATAAATAAATAAAATCTTCTTTGAGAAAAAGAAATTTAAATTAGTTGAAATGAAATAAAATAAAAATTAACTTCCTTAGGTTCTATTTTCTCTAATTTCCTTTGGAGACTATATGTTATACTTTCACGCTATATTCCCTATGTCTCTTAATCTCATTTCTGAATTTTCTATCCTTTTGCCTTTCCCTGCTTCAGACTGGATGTTTCATCTAGCCTTTCTTTCAACTCACTATTTCAGTTTTCAGCTCTAATATTTTGTTAAACTCATCTCTGAGTTGTTAATTTCAGTTATATTCTTAAGTTATAAAATTTTTATTTCTTTTTCATAGTTTCCAAATTTCTGTAGAAGTGCTCGATCTTTTACTTTTTTGAATTATCAAGAATAGTTGCTTAAAGTCTCATAATTCCTTGATCTAGATCCCCTGTGGGTCTTTTTATGTTTGTGGTATTCATTTTTGTTTTCTTATCTTTGGTGGTTTCTTATCTCCTTATGAGGTGTGCCTTTATTTTTGACTGAGTGCCAGACATAGTATATAAAAAGTTGTAGAGCTCATTTAAGCGTCAAGAAGATGTTATTTAACCCCAGAAAGAACTGTGTTTTTTCTTATAGGAATCTAGGAATCCAGTTTCAGGAATTGAGATTATTTAAAGCTGTGTTTCAGTCCCACAGAATACTATTCTCTTTCCAGTGTACAGTACTCTTAGGTATAGCCCTTCAAAGTCACCATCTAAAGGCTGAGGTTTTGGGGCGCCTGGGTGGCTCAGTCAATTAAGTGTCTGCCTTTGGCTTAGGTCATGATTCCGGCGTCCTGAGATGGAGTCCCACATCCACATCCCACATCCACGTCAGGCTCCCTGCTCAGCAGGGAGCCTGCTTCCCCCTCTCCCTTTGCTACTCCCCCTGCTTGTGTTCTTATGCTCTCTGTCAAATCAATCAATCAATCAATCTTTTAAAAAAATAAAGGCTGTTTTTTTTTTTTTTTTACAAGGCCACACACCCTACAATAGGCCCTGAACTCAAATTTTTTTCTTTCTTAGGGCAGCAAGGCTATTGATAACCCTCAGCACCTTAACTACCTTTTCTGAAATCAGCAGACACCCCAAAGGGAAAAGTGTCCCCAAATACCAGGCTTATCTTTTTGGATTTCCTTCCCATTCTGCATCACGGTTCCATAATTCTGGAATTACCTTCTTGGTCTTCTGATGCCATCAGATGGATTTTTCCCCTATATTTTCTAGTTCTCAACCAGAATATGAATCCAAATGTCCTAGTGTACCTTCACCATAAGAAGAAAGCCTTCCTTTAGTTTTCTAACTGATTTTTCTGGATGGCAGGTATTCCAAGCATGCTCAATTCCAAGAAAGAAAAGTGTAGCACCCATTTAAATGATTATGATTTTGCAGATCTTATGCTTCACATTATAAATCCTGAGATGCCCTTTCAAGTATCTCTCTCTGTATAAACTCTGAAAGATAGACCAGAAATCACACCAGATATTAAATAAAGTGAAATTTAAAATTAAATGAGGAAAATGGGGTGCCTGGATAGATCACTTGATTAAGCAACCGACTTTCAATTTCATCTGAGGGTCATGTTCTTGGGGTCGTGGGATCGAGCCCTGAGTTGGGCTCTGCACTCAGCAGGAAGGCTGCTTAGATTCTCTCTCTATCCCTCTCCCTCTGCGCCTCCCCCCTCGCATGCACATGCGCTCTCTCTCTCCCTCTCTCTACAATAAATTTTTTTTTAAAATTAAAGTTTTAATAAATTAGTGGGTAGATATTATTAACTAAAGCAGATGTCATGAACGAAGGAAACAGAAAAGCACAATTGGCCTGAAAGGACCAGGATCAGTACAGTCAGATGCACAGTGGTTCTTAGCCTGACACAGGGCCCCACTCACCCAGGGGATAGATGGAAGTGTTTGGGAGGGCCTGATAGCATTAAGTGAGCCTTAGACAATGGATGCTAAATGCTCTGCAATGAGAGGGGCAGTTCTGCAGAACAGAGAATTCTCTGGCCCCAAATGCCAGTGATATGAAGAAAAAAAAAAAAAGTAGAGATAAATTAAACTTCAGGCTGTTCTCTTTCTCCAGAGAGTACTTATCTTTGTTCTGGCACCAAATCCTGTTAAGTAATTGTATTACTTAGAGTAGGCTAAGCTGCTATGAGAAGTAGAATCTCAAAATTCTGAGGCTTAAGGAATTTATTTCTCATTTACATAGCAATCTAGGACAGTTTGCATAACAATCTAGGACATTTGTCCACAGTTTGGATAGCTCTTTTCCTCACACTGATTTAGAGACCTAGGCTGCTTCCACTTTGCCGCAGTCCTGTCCCCCAGCACCTTGTCATTGTATGTGCGGTTTAGGCTGGTGATTACATCCTAATTCTAGTGGTCAGAAAGGGAAAGGAAGTGCGGAGGAGGCATACAGACGTCTTCCAGGTTCTCGCCTAGAGAGCACCTTCATTCTTCCCGCTTCCATTGAGAACTTAGGCGCATAGTCACATGTGTTTGACTGGCAGCTGAGACATATAATCCAGCTGAGTGCCCAGGTAGAAGAT